CGAAACAATACTCGATTCTTGGTCTACCTGTGTCATGGCCAGCATCATGGGTGTGGGGGACTGGGTAACAGAATCAACGGAATCGTATCTCTTTTCTACCTCGCAATGTTAACAAATAGGGTATTTTTAATCAACTGGGGTGGACCAGGCAACCTGGAAACCTTTCTTCAACCAAATACGATCAACTGGACCTATGATGGACGGCTTTTACAAAATGTAAAAATGCATCGAAAATACTGGGGTGTTTCGGGCCCAGAGCCAGGATACGATGAATCTCGACTCGAGGAATATCCAAAGTTTTTAAACTGGGTTGAAAAAAAAAACTTTGATGTTTTCTTGAAAGAAGATGTGGAAGCCATTGGAACAATTTGGTACTTCGCCGATCAGATTTGGAAAAATCCTCATCTATCTAAGCGAGCTAAAGAATTAGGACTCCCTCCAGCTCAAGACGACTTTCCCTTTTCTATGCTTGGTTGCGCCATGGATTTTTTGTTCAATAGATCAGTGTTTGTAGACAACAAGCTAGCATTGGCTAGAAAGGAGCTTGGTGTTCGATCACGCCCTTACATTGGCATCCACATTCGAACGAGCGACCATCATTTTGGATCGTCAAACCCACATAGCATCAGGACTAAAAACCCTAAAAGAGTTCTAGAATGCGCCCAAAGAGTCCAGACTATTATACAAGCGAAGAAATCGGTCGGAAAACGTCCGATTACTTGGTTTCTGGCAGCCGATGATGCGAAACTCAAAAACAATTGGACGAAAGAATTGCCTTTGAACGTATTTTCCTTAAAAATGAATCCACAACATCTTGAATATTCGGGAAAAGATAGTACTGCGTTTCTGGACGTTCTGGTGGACATTTTTCTTCTTAGTGAAAGTGATTATTTTATTGCAACTTGGGACAGTACGTTCAGTTACGTTGTCATGGGAATAAGGGGGTTTTCCACCAAGAGTTTTACGTATGGTGAACGCTGTAACATAAATGAGACTAGTTTGGAACTTGCTGAATAATTATCATCGCTGCACCACCTACCACTACAGGGAGGCATTATATCTAAAGGGAATGCCAATCGAATTCTTTGCCTTCTGCCTTCAAAACTCTATTCATTCATCCAAAAGGTATATAGCGTTTGACCATGGTTGGAAAAACGAAAAAAATACTTTGTATATCAATGATATCTATCAAAACTGTAGCGATCTCTCGAAGATTTGTAGTGAATTTCTTAGGGAACGCTTTGGAGCCCGACCCGATAGTCTCGTCTTGATGTTACTTTCATAGAAATGCCGCTGGTCTGTCAGAGTGACGTGCTCAACTGCTATAAGAGCTATTTGGAACATATGCCGTTAAAGATCTAGACTCTTCCACAGTCTCTCGCTCGTCCGTTCCGTCTCCACGCATAGAGACTGTAATGGTACAATGACCGAAAGGACTTATGGGTCCCGAAAACTTGGACCAAGCGTGCTTTGGGAACCAAAATACTCGTCCACAGTCTCTCTTGTTCCAATATTTTCAAGATGGCGGCGAAAACGAGAGAGACTGTGGACGAGTATTTTGGTTCCCAAAGCACGCTGGGTCCAGGTTTTCGGGACCCATAAGTCCTTTCGGTCATTGTACCGTTACAGTCTATAAGCGTGGAGACGGAACGGACGAGCGAGAGACTGTGGAAGAGTCTATTAAAGATCTTTACAAACAGAATATTTTCTCGTTACCATAACATCACCACAACCCGGTGACCGCTACGTACTCTAGACAACCAATTTATTCATCAGTAGACTATGTAGACTAGGCCATGTTGGATAGCACGACAATCTTATAATTAATTTATTCAAAATGGCAACTATAACGTCAGAAACATCCAGAGTACGATTAACGGCTGTAAAGTCTATACTATTCTTCGTTTGCATTTGATGTCATATTCGCCATCTTGGTCGAAATTAACAAAAGACTTGTCAATGAATTCTTTTGTTATATTAAGCAACATGGCCCCGCTTTTGTTATTTCACTCCCAAGGGAATGATTGAAAACCAGCAGTTAATGGTTTTCACAGCCGCGCGCCATGCTGGATAAATTTAACRAAATATTCGTCATTAGCCTCTTTCGTTATATCATCCAACATGGCGAACGTGTCTTTTGTCATTTCATTCTCTTGSGAATGATTGCAAACCAGCAATTAACTTTGGGTATAGCAACGAAAAAAGAGTTAGTTGGGTGAGCCCTTGAATCTATCGCATTATTATACATGCAAAATGATTTTCGTCAAGATCAATGCAATTTTACACCTGTCAACAATAATGCATATATTTTAATAGTTTTGGTACAATTGGGAAACTTACGGGAAGACTAATGGAGGCATGCCGTAACACAAGATTAAAACTCTATCTTCTTATTGTCTTCCAGTATTTCATTCAACCAAAACGCGCGTATAGTTACGGGTACAGCACAGCTACGAATTTGCCGCCTACCTATTCCCGCTATGGCGTACTTTGCCGGGGCAAATGGAATCGCACGATTTAAAGATTATTAAGCGAATTTTACAGTCTTCAAATATTATTAACTAGATTCTAACATCCGACTTTAATATACAATGTAAGCCAGGCTTGTACAAGTACCTATATTTTTAGAGGTTACGTTTAAGGAAATATAAAAAAGCTAGTTAACGTTGTAGGAAACGGTTTCAGTTATTTTTTTGTTGCGCCTGCAGCAGTTTTGGCAAAGTCAGCGGCTGCCATCACACCAAGCATGCCTCCTTTCAATTTTCTTTTGGCGCTGAATTCCTTTAACTTTTGGCGGGTCTTTTCCAAGTCGTCCCGTCGTGCGTTGTCGCCCTATACGAGAGAAAATGTTTGATAGTTATAGGTATTTGATAACAGTTTTTATACTACAAAGCTAGGGTTTGAAAGACTGCATGTGACCGTAGTATTAGAGAAGCTTGACTGCAAGTAATAACGACCAGTGACTGTATTAGTATATGTAATAGGACTCCATGCTGTCCAATTAAGAAATAATTGGAAGAGGAAAATTCCGAGGACTGACAAAATTGGATGAGGCTGTAGGCCGAGTCCAATTTGGAAGTCAGAGGAATTTTTCGAGTCTAATTATTTCTTGATTGGGGAGCATGAAATTCCATTACCTATTAATTATATAGCTGCCTAATTAATCCCATATCAACAAGACCTGTCCAATTAAGAAAATAATTGGACAGCTACCTATATGGGATTAATGAGAAGCTGTATAATTAGAGGTTTAACTGCATAATTATAAAGATCATGAGTGACTGTATTATAAAGGAGATTCGACTGCATGTCAGAACGACTAGTGACCGTATGAGAGAGGTTTTACAACCTGTCCATGCCGACCAGTAACCATGTTAGAAATGATTGACCGCATTGTCATATCGACCAGTGATCGTATTGCAGAGGTTTCACTGTATGGTCCGTAATGACCAGTGATCGTATTAGAGAGGTTTGATGCACCAACCTTCACCCATGGATGTTGTAGGGCTTGTGCTGCAGTAAGTCGTTTCTTGGGGTCACCTACGACTAACTTTGATACAAGATCCTGTGCACAAAGGAAATATACTGAATTGAGCGCATGAAATGAAAAGATGGCTGCACGAACCCGGTTATCGGCAAGGTATATACACACAGAATGCGCTAAAACTTACTCTTCCAATCAAATAACCGATTTAAACATAGTACGAACACAGCGATGCACGATCAAAATCTCTGCACTGTCAGACCAATCACATTGCGCGAAAATTAATATCACCCAATCAAAATTCACGCGAATATTTACGCTTTTCAGTCAAGCTCGTACGGATTTCAAAGTGTTTGTATTGTTGAAGTTGTGCATTCTTTACTTGGTATTTGTGAATATTTAGACACTGACTCGAGGCTAACCCTGAGTAAATTAGTCTGTAATCAAGGAACACAGCGGTAATTTGGAACCTGAAAAGGTCTATTCCTTACCTTAGCACTGTCTGACACCTCATCCCACCACGGAGATATAAATTCATAATCGCACTTCAAAATTCTTTGGAACATCGCTTGGTCACCACGTTCATCGAAAAATGGTTCAAATCCACATAGACTAAAGGTAAAAAACTCAAAGGTTAATATTAATACTTTTTATTCGTTTGTACATCCGTTGGTCCGTCCGTCCGTCCGTCCGTCCGTTTGTTCAATGGTTGACTGGTTTGTCCGTCCCTCCATCCGTTCGTTGGTCGGTCAGTCGATTGGTTGTTTGGTTCGTTATTTAATATTATTTTTCAATTGATTGGTCATTTCTTTCTCCCTTTTCCCCCTATTTTTCTTTATATGTTTCAAGTTAATGTTACTCACAGAATATAAGCTATGACTCCAACTGCCCACATATCCACCATTGTGTCGTACTTGTGACCCAGTAAAACCTCTGGTGCTATTGGCAAAACGATCCACAGATTATTTCAATAAAGTTACTCACCAAAAACCTACAAAACTCAGGCCGCTGAGGTTCACGGGAAACATTTAATATCCGACAAGTAAGTCGTTCTGATAGCAAACTGCAGCTTTGAGAATACTCACAAAACAAAATAAATCTATTTGTTTGAAAAGCTAAAAAGCAAATTTCCCTAGAATATTTTTTTAGAGAGACGATTAAATTATTGATCTGGAAGGAGAATCATTTCTAAATATGTTTGAGGGGGGAGGGGAGGAGAGAACAAAAAACACTAGTGCCCTGTGTTCGGGGAAACGCAAAACTCGTGGGAACCACAGGTATCAAACTCCACCTCCTTGATTTAATGTAGATCGACTGACACTAAAATTGAGCATGGGATACCTGTGGTGAAACCCCCCATATTTTTTTCGCAAATTTCCGTGCGATCGTCGTTTCATTTTCGTAAAAGACCGAGTAAATCCGAACTTGAAGCCGAGTAAAAAACGGCGTAAAGTCTTGCGACCTTCCAGAGACTCATCTAAAGAACACCCATCAAGGGTATAAGCTATATAGTTTATAAGTTTATAAGTTCTTTTGGCTAAACAAGTACCATAGGTAAGTAAGGGCTGTAAGGGCTTACCACAATAGCCAGGAGTTCCGCAGACCGTGCTTGTGGCCTGGTCATTGAGCAGCATTTTTGAGAGACCAAAATCTGCAATTTTCAATGGTGCAGTCTCACTTTGGTCTCCATAAAGAAGGTTTTCTGGCTGGAAATTAATATTAACAATACGTTACCATCTAAAAATAACAATAATTTGACATAACTCAACTTGCAATCCAATAAAATTTTCCATTCAAATTAAGTCTTAAATCCTAATAAATTAATGAAATTTTCATCTTATTTATAATTCCATTTCAACAATCAACATTAATAATAACTATAATAATAATAGCTACATTATGAGTTGAAATCCGTTCTTCCTAATGATGAGATGCTCTTTTTATTTATTTTATACTGGGCCAGCAAACAAAGAGCTCCTTCAAATCGATTTTTCACGCCACCTTCTCTCCACACTCTCCCCTTTATTACTTTATGACAGGTACCTAATGGTTCATTTTGAAGCTTTTTCACACATGTAAACTGCTTAGTTTAGGGTGGGAGAGGATAGCCGGTAATGGTGAATTTGGAATAACTAGCTTTTTTATTTACTTCCAGTTTTATGTTTTAAATATTGCATTACATTACCTTAAGATCTCTATGAATGATATCATTACTATGCAGGTACTGGGGAAAGAAACGAAAAAAGAAAGATGAGGAACAACTCAGTGATAACCATGAGGTATTTGTCTGATTTAAAACTAGAATTAATGCAACTATAGCTATGAATGTCAAGCACCAGAGCTGGGGGACAAAGAAAACCCAGGTGAATTCAATTAATACAACTGTAGCTATGAATGTCAAGCACCAGAGCTGGGGACAAAGAAAACCCAGGTGAATTCAATTAATACAACTATAGCTATGAAGGTCAAGCACCAGAGCTGAGGGACGAAGAAAACCCAGGTGAATTCAAATGAGCTTTTTAAGGCCACTGTCAAATCAGGCTTTGTGAAATTTTCATTGAGAGAAAGTTCAATGGAAAATAGAACTGCTTTCTACACTTGTGCAATAGAAACTTGTTTTGTGAACAAGTTTCAGGAATTTCTATGCACTTACTTTAACAGCCTCCAGAATTTCTTTGACTGCTCCTGCTGCATCCTTTTCACTGTAATATCCCTTCTCTACCACCCTAAATCATTAATGCATTATCAAATTTTCTATCAGCAATAATTCTCATTCCTTATTCCTGAAATGCTTAGTAAATAATTGACTATCTCAGATCAATAGAGATGTTCTCCTTACCTTTCAAACAGTTCTCCTCCAGTTACTAACTCAAGTATCATAAACAACTGTGTTTTAGACTCAAATATTTCTTTCAGTTGAATCTAAATGAATGAATAAAATTTAGAAATTATAATATGACATTCCATATGACAAACACAAAATTTATGTTAGGGTGGCTGTTCTTTGGATTCGCAATGATGATGATGATGATGATGATGATGATGATGATGGCAATGATAATAATGATGATAATGAAAAAAGCAAGGGTGGCATAGTGCTTAGAGGACTCCCCTCTCATCAATGCAACCCAGATTCAAGTTCCGTTAATACACTGCTTGAGAACCAGTTTTGAACAGGGTTTCTTGCTGATGTCAGCACAAATAAATTTTTCTCCTTCCTTCGTGTTGCTCACATCAATAGTTTGAGTTCGTGACTTTCAAGTTTGCTTGTTTGCAATAACAATGGTTGTTTTTCATGCATGCACTCTTCCTCAGTTTTCCTACTTTAAGCAATTTATTACTGTAAAACTGCTATAGTTGTATATTATTACAGCCGGATGATTTTATTTATGTCCCTGTGGGGAATGAAAAAATATGGCCGCTTTCACTGGTAAAATTATCCAGCAATAAATACACAACTAGCAGTGTAATAACCTCTATATGAATGCTCTTTTCGTACTTACAATGTTTGGGTGCTTTAGTCTTAATAAAATTCCAATTTCTGTATGAATGATCTTCTTGTCAACCTGCAATTAGTAACACAATGAACTAAAGTAATTAATGAATTCTAGAATTAAAGTAAATTGTAATGTTACTACCTTTGAATTCATAAATATTAAGGTGAAGGGAGGTAGAAGTAATCTATAGTTTTAAAATGCAACACAAATAATTTATATTCAAAAAATAAAAATAAAAAATCTTTAAATTAAGTGGACAATAATCGGTATTTTTATTCCATAAAGACCGTCCCTAATAATCCATAATCCTAAAACCATATATAATATAAAATAAATATTTTTTTCCGTATGAATCCAGATTTTCCAATTTTTATCAAAGCCTGAAACTTATTGACTAATAGTCCTTTCCGAATTCACTTGGATGACCACCAAACAATGGTTTGAAGTGGAAACTGAACTTGATTCTTTCATCCATCAAGTTCAACCTTGACTTCATGATCAGTCAAGTGATTTCGGGAAAGGTTTATTTGAGGAGTGAGGAAAACTGGAGCTGAATCCAGGTGGAGAAAAACTGTAGGTAATATATACAGTATGAGTGGCCGTGTTGTATCCGATATACAAACTCGAGGCGTAGCCGAGAATTTGTATATCGGATACAACACGGACAYGAATACTGTAGATTACTTATTAAACGTCTAGGTTAGTTCCTTTGTGTTTCGCTAAAATTTCAAGATAAAAGTGAATCTGGCCAAGAAAATCCATCTTAAAGTTTATGCAAATGAACAGGATTCTGTATCTGATTTACAAAACTCTTCATGGTCGTGATTTCTGTTGTGTTTTCCTCATGAATTATTAATGAGTTTAATAACAACATTTTGAAATTAGGCATACATAAGCATGCAGTTGTTTACCATGTGGCTTGGAGGTTCAAAGTTGAAGTTTAATTCTTCAAATATATTTGCTTTGAATAATAATCAAACCGTTTTGTATTCTCTTTGCATTCACAAGTAATTGTTCAAATATTAGTAGTCATATATAGATAGTCACACTTTCCGAGGTAATCTATAATAATAATAATAATAATAATAATAATAATAATAAGTCCTGTCATGCTGGTAGGTTACGAAATTACGCCCTATCTAGCTTACCCAATTAGCATTCAAACGTGTTTACTGCTGATAATATAATAATAATAATAATAATANTTTATTGAGGGTAATACTAAATAGTACAAAGGTATTAATAAACTCGTTGCCTTCAAATATATAAAATATATAAAATCCAGCCTCATACACGTTAATTATTTTACACAATGTTACTGATAGTGAATAAATCTATCCTCTTTACACAAACAGTGCATGCAATTATGGACAGTGCGGCCAGTCCATCAACAATTTAATGAGTGAAATAGATGACTTGCACTAACAGGTCAAGCGACCCTACCTCCCTTTAAACGAGCAGCTGTGTCGAAATGAACATCAGGAATGAAAAGAGCACCTCGATATTAGTAGAGGGTGGCAGAGTCTTAGCTCATAACAAACGAAAAAGGAGAAATTGCATTAAATTTGAAATCAAATATCTATAAGGATTTGTATGGGAAAATAAGCTGGATGGCGAAGACATTTCCCCATACAAATCCTTATAAATATTTGATTTTATATTCAATGCCATTTCTCCTATATTCAACATAAGACTAATGACATTATAATTACATCTTTGGTATAGGTCTGTATAATTAATTGTGTTCCGAAAACCCACACGTTAAAGCGAAATGAGGAAAATTAATGCAGTTGAAAACCAAAATGATGCATTAGATGCCCTTCTGCTGCAAGTAAGTACAGTAAAACATCTGTCAAAACTATTATGGTGAACAACAAAGAAGAAAGAAAAAAATGTCTGGTTTCATGGCTTAAAAACCAGCACAGATAAAGTCATTATGACAATCAGTTGAGGTAAAACAGAGCCCACAAATCTGTACTAAATGGTTGACTTTATTTATCTTAACCAGGTGATCATATTTGAACAAAATGATTGGCCAGGAACGATCATTTGATTTAAAAAAAAAACACCCCAGAGATGGAGAATTTTTAACAGAAATAAATTTTACCACTCTAGTGATTTCCATAGTATTTGCTTATAAATATGTAACTTAGGAGTGTTTGCAGTAATCTAAGTCATTTTAGAAACTAATACTGATAGAAAATAGTATCACTTAGCTGATTTTACCTCAAAAATTTCTATCAAACTTTTTGAAGGGGGACAATAATAATGATGCAGTTTTCTCTATGAGAACATTTTTTGGGATTAAATTTCAATGTCCACGAATCTTTTCATTTTCCTTCTATCTCATTCTTTTCCCATTTATTTGGTTTGTATGAGTGCAGGATCTAACTCATCTACAAAAACCATTGCAGAATTTAATTTTTTTTGTATAACCAATGAAAATAAAAAAATGAAATAAATTATGGAAAGGTATAGGAAAATTCTGCTATGTTAAAAACTCACAGAGCGCAAACGATATAAATGACGGCTCAGACGAATCAAATCTAATTTCAAGGATCAATTCTTATGAGCCTTAAGACAATGGACATCAAAACTCTAAAGCCACATTGTCAGATTGTAATGAAATCCGTCGTCAAGGCGTCTAGCGTCCAACGAGTTTGAAATTGAAAACAAACATGTGAACTCGTTTGTTTCTGCCATAGTAGCACGGTAAGGTATCCAGAAGTTTTGTTTATATCTACAAGGCGACAGGGGTAGATTGGCAATATTTATCTCCCAGTGATTCCTACCAAAGGATAGATTTAACGCTAGATTTTTAAGCATTTAGCGAGGATTTAATACGCGAGATTCATTTTAAATCGAAAACACTTTCCAAATCAAATAAATGGGTTTAGTGCTGTATTATGGTGCCCGCTTTCTTCGCGATATCGCTTGATAGATTTCTGATTTGATGCAGTAACAGAAAGATTGAGTACTTAGGTGATTCTTGTCCGAGTAAACACCAAATTCATTCACTAGACAAACAAGAAAATTCATATACTTACATTTTTCTTCATAATTTTAACTGCATATTCTTTGTTTGTGCCCTTTTGTCGACAGAGCTTGACGACGGATGATGCCCCACTGGGGAAAGAATCAAGTTGAAATAAGAATTCATTTTTAGATGTTGCTAGACAGATGTACAGGCAAACTCATCGAAATGTAACTAAATCATTCCAATCCACATTTGACCAGAAGTCTCATTCGCTAACCCCAAATCTCTTATCACTTCAGCGCGTTAATTCAGCCAAGCAGATCAGAGCTGAGCTGGCCACATCGGTAAAAACAACCCATTCGATTCATATTGAACACTTTCAAAATCAATTCTCCGAGCTAGCGCTCACTACCTACCGGCCAAGCTCTTTTCCTATGTCGTAGAAGTTCTCAATCGGTTCTTTCCTCGAACAACTAAATAGGTCTGTCATTTTGATCTTGGGAAGTCGCTCCAGGTGCTGTTATGGAGAGTTCAGTGTTAGTTATAGATGGTTGTGCTGGAAAAGTGTTAGGATGCGCCAAGACAAGAGCTGTGCCACCTTCTTCCGTCAGCCACTGGTGTCGTGAAATAATGACCCGAGTAAAAGAGATATTTAGAATAAATTAACGATTAACTAAAATGTGACATACAGCTGGAGCTGGAGCTATCCAAACAGCCTGCACTGTCCAAATGACGTCACGATTCTTTTGATCTTTAAGTCAATCTCTGTTCACTAGAATTTCAAACATGTCTTTCTCTTATTGACACTGTGTTAGCAGAGTATTTCGCAATGATTTCAGAGAGAAAGACAAACAAAGAGAGACAAGAGATACAAGTAGGGTTGAGTTTCGGGAGCCGTTCCCTGTTTCCATAGTGATGTAGAGTACATCTTAATACTAGTAAAATTATGACCACAGCATTTTCATACTAGAAGTATTGTCAAACTTTGGTCTAATTATAATAGATTTAATACAATAACAGCATGATGAATTATATACAAAGACTGATTGGTCTTTGTTCCAGCCGGTTCGTTCGTTCATTCGTAAGTTTTGATCATTTTTGACTGATTCCTGAGATCGATTTGATAAGTACCCGTGTGTGTTGACCAGTGTTGTCTGGCCTCTGGTACAAAGGGGGATTTTGTGTATGACATTCGTCTTTTCTTCTCGACAAGACTTTTTCGTTCTTCTTCGGAGAAATATCATGAATATTTACTTTAAAATCAAATTCTAATGCGATTCAAAAACATGTAGTTTCAATCTCTTTCCTGTCAATCATCGGCTAAAATTTAAAGAAATCGTAAAAAAGAAAGCAAAAGAGAAAAAAGCCAAAAGATAGTGCAAGAAATTAAAAGAAAAATTGATATTGAGGTTGAAAATCTATCAGAAAGATTCAAAAACAGTTTGAAGGCGTCAAAAATAAAGTTTGTATCTCAGTTTGAGATTTTTGGAATACTGTATTCAGAACTCGTTTGAGACTCGTGCAACATACATTTTATAGCGTTCTCCTGATTAACACTTAAATGGTATTAAGTGGTAATGCATTTTATAGGGTTCTCCTGATTAACACTTAAATGGTATTCAGTTAAGAGAGACGCACGAAAATATTTTAGATTGTTGGAATACTTTTTAATTCTTGGAATATTTCCTCTACTTTACAAATAACGAATTGTTTGTAACATTCTTTGCACAGGGAGGGGCTGCGAACGGCGTCCTGGGTTGCCTCTCCCACTGAATAAACTCACAAATCATATTATCCGGCCTCTATAGATCGTTGAATTTAAACTTTCATCCCGATTATAATGCAAAAGCCTGGTTTTGTGGAAAAAGTTCACACGTAAAATTGCAAGTGAAAACCGCCGTCATAAGCGTAAGCATGAGCCAAGCAAAACTTTTCGATTTTTCATATTTCGTTTTTGATGCGTTTCCGACTCCGATATCGTTGCAATTGAAGACCGAGACATGTAAAGCCCAAAATCATTGAGAGGGGAGTCTTCTAAGTATTCCTATACTTTCTTAAATATCCCCGTATCCTCCTATAAATACCAAAACCCTCTATTTTTGCCTTAAATATCGTGTCTCTATATTTTTCCATGACACCCATATACTTGATAAGCCTTTTTTTGACTGTTCCCCCTCTTCGGTGGCACTTAAATGGTATCCGATAAATGACAAGTGTGACAATATCCTAAGATTTTCGAATATTTCCGGCTCTAGCATTGTTGGAATATTTACCCCGGAACTTCTTTACTTTTCGTGACTTTTCAAGCTCTTAACAGAGTCTTGACTTTGATGCGAGCTGACACTTAAATGGTATACTCTTGAGAGAAAAAGAAAAGAAAGAACAAAGAAAGAAACCCAAATGCTAACAAAACTGAAATAATGTGTGTTTATTACAATTAATCTGATCCATGACCATCCTACATTTATTTTTACAAAGAGTGATTAACTATTAAAAGCTATCATATTATAAAGTGATAAAAATATAAAAAATCTCTAAATTTTTAATTTCACGATAAAGTGGACGGGGAATAGACCAAATTCAAAACTCGCACCGATGTGAGGCTTAAGTAGTGAACAAAGGAATCTGGCGTGATTCGTGACTTTTGAATCACGCCAGATTACTTTGAGTCACGCCAGATCCCTTTGTTCACAACTTAAGCCTCACATCGGTGCGAGTTTTGAATTTGGTCTATAGACCTTTCCTTTGCGGTCTAACTTGGGTACAAACATCTTTTGTCTATCATGCCTTATATGGTGTCGTTTGTACCCGAGCTAGACCAGAATGCACCTTGCTCAGTTTTCAAACTTCAAAAAAGGTCTTCCGCCGAGGGACATTCTTGAAACTCGTCCAACTCGGCTTGAAAATCCCATCTATAGGGCAGACGCGTGGCATTAGTTCTTCTCTATATTATCAAGCTAATTAGAATTCTAATTCATTAGAGTGCAAACAATATAACCGTGAAACTTTAGTAATACTAAATAGCACAATTTCAGGCAAATTCCATTATTTTCTATTGTTTAATTAGCACTATTTCGTACTATTTAGTAATTAGTGTTTCACGGATTAATTGTTTGCATTCTATAAACTACACACATCGATATTTATTATTCTTGTCGATGCAATTGATGACGTCACGGTAGCCATATTGGATGAAGAAAAAGATATTCATCTTCCAATATGACCACCAAGTTGTCATTCTCGAGAAAATATTCAAATCCTATTTAAAGTACAATTCTATAATTTTTCCTAAAAACTGAGTTAAAAAGTTTATGCCTTTATTTATTTATATATTTATACATACTAAAAACAATGGTTTTACATGCTTCTGGTATGAGTGGGAAACGTACTGTTCTGACTTACAGCACGTACACGGTATGAAATGCCGTAACATTGTAATGGCTTTCCATAAAAAAAGGTTATCGCGTGAGTGGGAAACAAACGGTTCTGACTTACAGCACGTACACGGTACGAAATGCCGTAACATTGAAATGGCTTCCCATAAAAATGGTTATCGCGTGAGTGGGAAACATACGGTTCTGACTTACAGCACGATACAACATACCGTAACATTGAAATGGCTTCCCATGAGAATGGGTACTGGACTTGCAGCATGTACACAGGGATTTCCATTCTTCAAGTAATTCATCCAATCAAAACGCGTAGTTAAGGTTACGGTAAGATACGGGTACGACTACAGAACGGCCACCAATTTACCGCTGGTATCGTTTCCCACTTCGGTTCGAATACCGCTCTAATAAAGTCTATTCTAAAATAAAAATAGATCGAGCTAGCTTAAGGACGTTCATGGGCAAAAGATCCCATCTTCAGATTTTATTAAAATTTTGCATGATGAAAGAATATCATACTAGAAATAAAATAAGCAAATAAAAAATGGGGGTCCCCGACTTCGTTTAGCGGACAGAATACTTGGAAGTTCGCCCTTCTTATGGTAAAAACGCGTTTCTTCCGGCTTGTGGCGAAAAACTAAGGCTTTGGCATAATCCATTTTTTTTGCAATTTTCGCAATTTTTCGGAAGCGAAACATAATCAATGTAAGTACTCGTTCTTCGCCGCAGGCCAGAAGAAACGAGCGCTCTGGGTACGAGATAACGCCCGCTCACTAAATTCATGCGTAGAAAGGATGCGCGCGAACAATACCCATGAATGTCCTTAAGTATTCTATTTTTTTCTAATAGACCTATCTCGAATTCGCTTGACTGACCACAAAACAATGGTTTGAAGTCGAGACTGAACTTGATTCTTTTATTCATCAAGTTCGACCTCGACTTGAAACCATTGTTTTGTGAACCAGTCAAGCGAATTCGGGATAGGTCTATTCAGAAACGTGTCGTCCCCTTTAGCATATTTTCTTTGTTTATAACTGTATGTAACTCTGAGAAGCCTATTTTTTAAGGGGAATGATGACATGGACTAAAATGGTGAATCAAGCATCAATCAGTGACAGATTTTGAAAAAGGGGTGTTCAAAGATATCTAATTATAAACAGCTCTAAACATTATGAAATGACTTCGAAGTAATAAATACACTGCAAAAGCCTAAAAACTACAATCCGTATTTCTTAGAGCAGAATTCGTTCTCCGTTATGAATTTACTTCGAAACTTACTCTTCCCTCTCCCCTTACAAAAGGGTCATAGACCTCTTCGGCTCTGACGTAATGTTTTCCCATTTCAGACGTCATGTCATTCCCAAGAGTATCATTTCTTTGTTTAAGTTTTGCGCTCGGTTGCACATAAGAAGACACATGAATATGGATACAGCTCAAAAAAAGAATCTTATTCTCAAGGGAATGACACATGGTCTGAAATGGGAAAACATTACCCAAAGCCGAAGAGGTCTATTGACTCGGCCTACTAGTACTCTCCTTCACCATCATTAGTATCGGTCCTAGATCGTCCCGGACCCGTGAGGATCTGGGAACGACACTAAGGACTGCCGTGCGCAGGAGTCTAGGACACCCACTAGGGCCAGGTTGTACGTAGGGTGGATAGCGCTATCCGACGGATAAATCTTATCCAGTAGATAWATTTATTGGATAACAGCATCGATTTATCCAATGAATGAGGATTTATCCATGGGATAGCGCTATCCACCGGGCCCAGAAGTCTATCACTATTAGACCACTAGTAGCTCAGCCAATCAGAGGCCAGGATTTGTGATAGACGATTAGTATGTATTATGCCTACTCTATTTTTTTTTTTTTTTTTTGGGCCAAGCAAAATCACTTTAGTACTACAGCAAAAGTAAGAAAAGACCTTGAAATCTATATAGTCTAGAAGCTTAACTTTTCGTACTGTTTTACTTGTTGTATCCTCTCCTTTGCCAGTCATTTGCGGTGTCTGTTTGGGATCGACGAAGAGCCGCGGACGGCTTAGTACGAGGTGGCAAGGTTTACTCATCTGAATAAGACATTCTGCCGCCGTGTGCTTTCCTCGGAGTAACTGTTAAAGAAATATCACTTAATCAGGTACTTTGAACATGAGGTCCGGTCAAGGAAGACTATATGTATTATATATATATATATACTTATTTTCGGGCTGGAAAGTCAGGGGAGGATCCAGTCAAAATTTTAGAGAGGGAGGGGGGGCCGGGGGGGCTAATTGAGTTTCTTCCGTCAACACAACGAAAAACAATTAAAAAAGCATCTAATTCTTCAGTTTTTTTTAATGCTGAAAGGGGGCTTCAGCCCCCCTTTGCCCCCCCCCCCTGGATCCGCCCTTGAAAGTCCGCATGATTTACGAGAAATAAATCAGTTTCTCATGGGAAAAATACTCCTGTCATGGTGCAAAGCCTCTACACGAATCTCTGCCTTGTGATACCTACTTTTTGGAGGAAGGTTTTGATAGCTGTGTCCAGGTGCTGAATGCGTTTGTTGGTGATTTTCATACTTCCGATCGGTGTTATAGTTTTCGTAATTTCTTGGTGGTCTTCCTGGGATATTTTCATAGCTTCCTGGACCTGTATTAGCCGGCACTCTAGGGGGGAGTTTGGGTGGGGCATCCTTGGAACTTGGGGGTGGTGGGAGAGGAGATCGTTCTGAAAAAATGAGAAATAATATAAGATTGATTAGTATAATATTACTGTTTCTTAGTGTCAAAATCTAAATATGATAAACATAAGCTGGACCATAGTTAATTACTATGAACAAACGGGGTAACTTTTCCTTTATCAACGTCAAAAAAAAAAAAAGAAAAGAAAAAGAAAATTCGAACAAATACCTAGAATAGGTTTCCAAAATTATAATCCATTGACTATGGCTGGGCGTAATTTTTTTAGACAAGAGGTAAAGTAGATCTCTTAGAGGTAGAAACTTATGGGATACAGCCGTGTTATACCGTGTGAAAGTTACACCCTTGGGCATTTGGAAGACAGTACTTGCCTCCTTAGGCAAACAGTACTCGCACGTCCGCCATCTTGTTTTTCGGAATTTTCGCGCGTGCACAGCGGTTTTTAAGACGTGTCGACAGTACTCGCATTATACCATATACAACTATTTCAAAAAAGGTTGAATACTGAACACTGCATTCCAAGGCCAAAGGGCATTGTGGGTCATTGTTACATTGTCTAAAGTAGGATTAATAATCATTATTTATTCTATTTTTAGTGTATTCCATCTGAAACAATATACTAACTACATGTAGAGAGATAATTGCTGTATATTTACTTTTTATTTCAAATTAAACATTACACTTAATAAGAGGTCTATTCATTTACAGGAACGTCCTATATGACTCCTCTTCTTCCTTCCCCTTTTGAAAATTCCAACTTACTCTATGCTGCTTGTTGGGGAAGGGGCGGGAGGGTGGTGGGGGTGGTGGTGTATTTTGTTTATGGATGTTAATTTTGGTTACCTCTTGAGGGAATGTTCTCATAACTTTGAGTGTACGTTTTAGTAGGGGGTGGAGGAGGTGGAGTAGAGACACCTGTGTAAGAGAGATGACATGAGTTAGTTACATTTTTTTAACATAGAAGTGCTAAAGGGAATCTAAAGGGTGTCGTACATGTTGTACAGTGTGAATTGAGTGTACATGTCGTACACTCACCTCTCGCCGTGCTGGGTTCGATTCCTGGACTCGACATCACGTTAAGTACAGTTTTTTAGCTATCCCTTTATTTGAGAGTTTTTTTCTTAGTCTCCAGTTTTCTTCCCTCTACGAAACCTAATACGCTAAATTCAATGGATACTGCCTTTCTGTATTAGCCATTCTGAGGTTGAGGAAAAAACTGTGTGCAGTTGGCATTGCAGTGCGTCATGGCAGACTGTCTTAGGGGACGCCATGTTGGAAATAAGTCCTCTACAATAGTCCTACAATATGATGCAAAGCCAAACTGACTAATCCCCCCCCATCCCCATCATGTCATTATGAGAGCACACAGCACACATGTACACTTCCAGTTGCGTCATTCCTATCTAAAATAATGGTTATCGTAATTTGTATTTTATAAAAGAAATAAAACAACTTGCTTGCTGTGCTGTGTGCAGTTACAAAGCACTTGGGGATTGGCAGAACACTCGAGAAGTGTCCATAAGCACACCCGTTGTGCTTTTCCTAACACTTCTCTCGTGTTCTGCCAAACCCCGCGTGCTAAATATAACTGCAACAATAGCATGCGCACGCGTTTTCTATTTCTACAATATATTTACCTTTTGGAGCTATGTTCATATACCCCCCTTGATCAGATGGTCTTGTGGGGAGGGTTGGGGGTGGCCCTGTTAAACCAATCAAACAATACCATGATTGAGTAGTTCCAGAAATTATTCATACCCAGCCCCTCTCATGGAGGATTTTTTTAAAGAGATCAAGGAACTTAATTTTAATTTTTAAATGATCAAGCTGTAGACCCCTAGCTCTGAAAGCCAAACCTACACAGAACACAGAGATTACCACAGATGTGGTTTGAGATCCTGAGGATCAAGCTTTGGATCTGCCTCTAGCTCTGAAAGCTGAACCTTCACAGAACACAGAGATTACCACAGATGTGGTTTGAGATCCTGAGGATCAAGCTTTGGATCTGCCTCTAGCTCACAGAACACACAGAATACCACAGATGTGGATCGAGATCCTGTGGATCAACTTCCATCTCTGAAAGCTAAAGCTAAACAGAGCTACACAGAACAAGTCAAGTCAGGAGATCCTGAGTATTGAACCGTGGACCTCTAGCTCTGAAGGCCTCACACTAACCAACTGAGCTATGCCTTCACCTATTATTCCTACGAATCACTATGAATGACATTGAACAAGTTTATTACTTGTAAGTGGAAAAACACCTTTCAAGCAGGGGCCACGGTGCAACCTAAAAAGAGGGTGGCTAAGATTGAGACTACCATGGAAAAAAGATTAGCTAAGATTGGAAAATATAAGAGTCTAGTAGAGGAAAAATGAAGGGGGGGAGGGGGGGCTCCCTCCCTCTGCTTCGCAGTCCCTGACAAGTAATATCATCATCTTATTCACCAACCTTGAGTCTTGATAAAGCCATACCTTGACATTTTTGATGCTGCTACATCTAAATGAAATAAAAAAATATTTTTGTGTTGAATATACAACTTACGAATCATTTTTTACATTTACAGCTTATTTCTAATTTATTTGTTATTTACCATATGTTTTTAGGTTAAACAAAAGAACTCAATTTAAAGTAAAAATATTAAAAAATGATCGCTGCTTCCAGGGTAGAATGGGAAGCATGGGTGACATAGCCGTGATAGTGCACACTTCAAATCAATGCAGCWCAGGTTTGGATTCCCATACTAAATATCATATTCTTAGTGTTCTCTTCTGTGCTTCAAGTAGTGCACACCACAATCAATGCAACTCAGGTTGGATTCCCATACTCAGTTTCATATTCTTAGTGTTCTCTTCTGTGCTTCAAGTAGTGCACACCTCAATCAATGCAACTCAGGTTTGGATTCCCATACTCAGTGTCATGTTCTTAGTGTTCTCTTSTGTGCTTCAAGTAGTGCACACCTCAATCAATGCAACTCAGGTTGGATTCCCATACTCAGTGTCATATTCTTAGTGTTCTCTTCTGTACTTCAAGTAGTGCACACCTCAATCAATGCAACTCAGGTTTGGATTCCCATACTCAGTGTCATATTCTTAGTGTTCTCTTCTGTGCTTTAAGTAGTGCACACCACAATCAATGCAACTNTGCAACTCAGGTTTGGATTCCCATACTCAGTGTCATATTCTTAGTGTTCTCTTCTGTGCTTTAAGTAGTGCACACCACAATCAATGCAACTCAGGCTGGATTCCCATACTCAGTGTCATATTCTTAGTGTTCTCTTCTGTACTTCAAGGAGTTTTTTTTTCCAGCTGGTTCTCCAGTTTTCCTCCCACCACAAAAATCAACTTGTGAGGAGCACAGCTTTGTAAGCCACTAGCTATTAAGTGCTATCCTGAGTCTTAAAACAAGGCTATTTTAAAATAATGTCAATTGTCATTAATTCTACTTACCATTTTCCATTTGCTGATACGCATCTTGACATTCAGACCCATCCATTTCTTCATAAGCAGCTTGTTGTTCTTCATTATTTCCTTTGCCATTATCCTGATACTCTATTCACAATAAACAGGCAAGAAACAAAGTATGAATTATTATATGACCAAGAAAATATTTAAGATAAGAATTATTATGGCATCCCCCCTGCCCTGAATTAGTTACCAGCACTGTTAACCTATCAATTGTCTAGCAATAGACCATTTTTTGAGTTTTTAAATTACCGCTGTGTTTCTTGATTACAGACTCATTTACAGAGGGTTAGCCTCGATTTTGTGCAGAATATCCATGCGTTCCAGTCATGGCCTGCCAAATTTCAAAGTGTTTGTATTGTTGAAGTTTTGCGTTTTTTACTCTACAGTTGATATTCGTGAATATTTAGACACTCATATGAGCCTAGCTCTATGTAAATGAGTCTGTAAGCAAGGAAAACAGCACTGATTTGGAATCCTGAAACTGGTCTATTGCAACAACCTACCAATCCTACACCTACCAGCACCCTACCAACAACCTACTGATAGCCCATGTCTGATTGTCAACCAATTAAACACTCTAAGAATTTTAAAAACCAAAATGCTAATAGATAGTCAACCCATATAATGACTACTATCACCCTATAGCGACACTGATTTTTGCCATCACATTTTGAAGGTTCTAAGGATATAAAACGTTCACAGTTATYGTACCTGCATTAGGATCGTATGGCTTCAAGAAAATATCTTTTCTTTGACTGTTTATGAAAAAGTCAACCAACTTCTCAAGATCATCAAACTGATGATTCTATGGTAAATAAAGATATATACATTTAATCAAATCTAACTAGTGCTCTATCATCAATGGTGTGTTCTGACTGTATGAGCTACTACTTGGCTATAAATTATAGCCTAGTAGTAGGGAAAAGTGCTGGCTTTAAAAACCAAAACATTACCTTATTTTTCATAAACATGCGAACTCTGTGTCTCTGGGTTGCACGCTAAATTTGGTTTTTCGCTGCCACCAGTAAAAAATAATGAAGGTATCGACTGATTAGGTTTGACTGGCGGCAGCRAAAAACAAAATTTCAGCGTGCAGCTCTCAGACACAGAGTTTGCATGTTTACGAAAATTGTAGTAAATTTAACTTTAATTCGAAATCTTTTTGCATCTATATATTTGACCCACAAGTTGCAAAACAATTAGTCCTCTCACCCTCATGTCTATGAGTCAATGGCCCATTTGGCCTTGAGTCTCACAGGCTATTGACTCATATCCCATTCTGGCTTGATGACTAATATTGCTAATTATATAGCTGATGAAACATCTGGCTTTATTATATAGATATCGATGAAATACCAGGTTTTCTCTAGTGTCGAAAACTTGATATCTTTCACCATTGGAAGATACAATATCTTTTTCTATGTGAAGATATCGCTGTTGACATAGTAACGTATTTTAATAAAGAATTTTTGAGCTTTTGTTTTATTTAAGTTTCATCGACATCTATATAATAAACAGAACATTACATGGCTGCTTGGAGATACGAATTTTATCTTCTCGTGTTCAATTTAGATATCTCACTCATTCGCTGCACTCACTCGTGAGATATCAATTGAACACTCGAAGATAAAATTTGTATCTCCGCGCTCCCATGTAATATCCTCTATATCCTGCACTGGAAATGATTTGCTATTAATCTAGATTATGGTGGACAGGTGATGGTGATGAAAATTGTGGGGATGGTCACAGTTGCAACTATGATTGATAATAATGATGATGGTATTAAATAGTGGAGACTAAATGGTGATAGAGATGAATGTTATGGTGAGGATGCCTGATGATGCTGAAATTGATATATATTATGTGTTATTGTTATTAATATAACAATGATGATGACTGATAATGAATGATGGTGATGATGTTGATTGATGATCACTGATGGAGTGATGAAAATGACGACAAGTATTACCATTTATCATTTATTATTGGAGTCACTGATGAAAATGATGAAAATGACGAGGAGTATGCAATGACCGAAATGATTGAAGACTTACATTTAAGGTATTAACACATCTGCTAATATTAAGATATTATCATTTATTATTTTTCCTTACTTCATATCCTTTAATGACCAATTTACTATTCCTCGGGTTAGTTTCTATTTTATGATGTCTGAACTTGTCCTTGTGCCTGGCACATGAAAACAATAGTAACAAAATAATTAGATGACCATTGTGCTAAAATCTTTCTCCCAAAACAATATATGCCTCTTTCTGGAAAATGATGTGAATTTTGAAGGCCATGTAACTAACTAAGCTAATCATGCTGGGGTAGATACAGGAATTTAAAAAAAGGGGTGACTATTACAAAGATTTTACCAGGAATGCAAGGAAAAGGGGATTGACTAGTCACCCCTTTTACCACCCCTGGGATCCACCCCTCTTATGAGTGGCGAATGAGAAAGAAAAACATTCAAATTTTAATTTCTTTGATAACTAGTTGAAACAAGCTCTGGGCTGATCTAAGTCAGGGCACAACTAACTCACAGATCAAACCCTGAAACAAGCTCTGGGCTGATCAAAGTCAGGGCATGTCTAACTCAAAGTTCCAACCCTAAAACCACAGGGCTACAAACTACACAATATCGCTTTCTATCTCTTGGAAATAACCTTCAGAATGTTTTTCTGAAACTACAAATTCAATATATATATATATATATATATATATTCTAAGACCCTCCCCATGTTCTTATATTATGTACTTATTGACTGAGTGGGTGGGCCATACGGGAAAATATTTGGCTTGAAGTGATGCTCACTGCGCTCGGTCCGTACAAATGACTGAGAGCCAAATATTTTCCCATACTACCTGGCCTAACTCAGTCAATAAGTATTTCATCATATGATYCTCACAAAAAGAAAAATAATAAAGAAAGAAATAGTAAATAAAAGCTAAAAAAGAGAAAGCTGGTTTCAAGCAGGGCTGTACGGATTYGTACTGCCCTGCTCGCTYAAAGCCATACGGCCCTGCTCATGCCATTTTCCCGAATGTTTTTTAAGAGAGTGCGCCCCGGCAGATACGGGTCAACATGATAAATATATATATATATACCTTAAAGATAAAGTGTAGGATCCAGGTAACTTGGACGTTTCACTGTCACGAACAAGGAACGTTCCTACTCTCTGTTTAGTGAGTAGTTCCTCTGCTGCATCTCTTGTTTTTACTTCTTTCAAGTACCAACTGAATAAAAGAATTAATTGTGAATGATAAAATAATACATACTAGTGTGTCGGTTGAGAATCCACCTTTTTGGCACTAGTTATCACATAGACCATGTGAAAAAGRCTGGAAACAGCACGACAAACAATAAGATTTCAAAAATATATATTTTCATTACAAGAAAGACCATGTCTAAATTAGTAATTTCGGAAAGTTTTGTTGTCATACATTAATTCCCCAAAGAGTCATAAGCAGTTAAAAGGTACCCAAAACATGATAAYGAGGCTGGTAGGCCCTTGGTTGTTGTTTCCATACGAACGTTTTTTATCTCAAACAGCTGTAGCTTTTTATAATTTACGTTAATACACTGAAATTTTGGAAGATCACTAATTTCAATATACTCTTTCTAATATAATATTGTTGTCTTCTATAACTGATGAACTAAGGTATCTCAAGGGACACAAACTCTTTCATACGGTCTATGGTATAAAATGATTATGGGGCAGAGAAAGAACAAAATTACAGTTTGTATGAAAGAATATTGGAATTTCCCAGGGGTAGTAGAAAGGGGAAGGGGGAAGGGGAGGGGGAAAGGGGAGAGGGAAAGGGGAGGGGGTTGCGGAGGATATGGATAATTTCTGGAACTACAGATTGTTACTTACGATGGCTCTCGTTCAATAACATGTTCAGGTATTGTTCCTTCTGATTTTCTTCTTGCCTATAAATAAGAAAGTATAAACTGAGTGCAATGTTACATAATTTATGAGATGAATCTAGATCTGTCTGCATAACCACTTGTAAGAACAAGAAGGAAAAAATTGGAATATATGAATATTGATAGTGACTGACTGCATCAACAATTGATGGATGGATGGATGGATGGATGGATGGATGGATGGATGGATGCATGGATGGATGCATGGATAATGCCCCCTGGAAAATCACTCTTAACGCTCATGTCATGACATAAATAATAATATTTTACTGTCAATACCTTAGTTTCTTTAGCAGCATTATCTTTACCGGGACCAAATGACAGTATAGGAAGACTGTCTCGGTGGAGAAGCTTTCTTATCCTGTTACTTTTCTTTTCCATTTAAACAAAATTAGTTAATCTCTATCAGGACATCTGATTACCTGAATGATACTGAAAAGAATTTAAAACAAGAAAATTAGTACCTCATTGACTCTCAAATTTAAGTAGATATTTTGTTCTAAAGTTCATAATCGTCATTATCACCTTAATTGATCTTAAAATAATATTTATCATATTCATAGTTCATTGTTATATACCAAGTGGCAAAGTCCAATTTTTTCCTTTTCTCATTGGCCAAGATAATGCCACTTGATGGCCATAAAATTTCCATTTTCTGGCAACCGTTCTGGACAGGCAATATCACATTTATATTGTGTAGTTCCAGGAAATATCCATACCCCAACCACAGAGGAAATCGGAAATTCTGGAGGGGAGGGGTGTCAGATAAAGAACAAAATTACGGAGTTCGTATGGAAGAAAATTGAAAATTGGAAGTTCATGGGGGTAGGCGGTTCTTTTGCAAAATATACGCTCTATGCTGAAGGTATGGTTATTTTTCAAAACTACACATTCCCCTGTGAATAACAAAATTGGAAGTGATTTGATGGGAAATGTTTACAAATTTTCTTAGAGTTTTCAAATAGCTGTGTCGGGACCACAACACATGGTTTCCCTTGGTCCCAGTGTATAATATGAATTATTACCTTTTAACATTAGTTTGAACATTAGTTTTGCAATTGTTTTTGCAAATACACCAATTTTCCCTTCCATTTCTTATCTGTTCCTTTATTTTTATTTTTATTTTTACTATTTTGATATTTTAAGTAATTTTCTATAAAAGGGATTTAGCAGGTTATATATATTGTAATTAATGCATAGTTTTTAAGGGCCACAGGTTTGTTAGTATTTTTATACTATTACGTGCCACCCTTGTTGAATAAAGTATTTATTATTATTATTACTCCTACTTAATTTTATTTCCTATTTCCTACTTTTTGCCTTTTGCCTCTTTTCATAAAATATAAAAATAATGATCTTTGTTTCCTTTCGCTCTTTTTCTAAAAATCAATTTCCATTTTTTCTCTTTCATTTTACTTTTATTTCCCTTTTTTAGTTCCTATTTTTCCGATTTTCCCTTTTCTTCTCCTTCATTCTTAGGCTGTGTTCATAACGTATGGCAGAGGGGGATCAGGCACAAAAATTAGAAATGTCCAGAATAATTCTTAACACCCCCCCGTAAAGTCATGCAAAAAAATACAATCCCCCCTAAGCAAGGCTTGTAACTTTTTCAAAAAACTGTGCATTTCCCCCATTTTTCTGATAAAAATTTGCCCATCCCCCCCTTTTTCCTGCCAAAATTTTCGCGATCCCCCCTCAATTTTACCTGCCCCCCCCCCGCCATACATTATGAACACAGCCTTATTTTACTAAACCAGGAAATAGTTCGAGTTTTATTTCTGTGTAGTTGAGAATATTTCAACCATGGAAAGGCATTAGTAATATAAATAAATAATGAAACTCAAACAAATACATTTACAAGAATAAATTTGAAATCAAAATTGATTAAGTTATYAACAGATTTGAAATAAAAACCAATAAAGCTTAGTTAAAATCTCAATTTAAACKTATCTTATTACTTAATTTTATACGTTTTTATTAGCTAAATAACTTTCCTAGGTACAGGGAGAGAAATTCTTCATATTCTTGATCTGTGGCCCAGACATGTAGCAAATGGATGCATGTGACCATCAAAAATCTTCTGAAATTTATACTATTTATACTATTTATACTATTTATACTATTTTGATTGAAAAAATTAATAAATAAATTGCTTCAAAGGCATACTTGGATTACTTGTTCCAAATAAGTTGGGAAAATTTTAGATATTTATCCTTACCGTAAAATGCGACTATTTGATTTAGCATTCTTGGTGTGGTAATATAAACGACCTAATAAAAAATCTAAGTCGTTGATATTTTGATCGCACTCTATTACATCGATTGCGAATGTCTAAAGCTTTGCAAACTTTCTCATCGGGCGCAAAAGACTTTCCATAGACTTTCTTTATGAAAATCGCTTAATAAAGATGTTAGGAGTCTAACATTTTTCTTAAAAATCTTGATGAAACATCATTGCTAGATCTAGCGTTTGGTCAACAGATTGAACGAAGCTGAAACCCAACTACAACGATGTAACTTGATGTTTTATATGTCATGTCATGACAAGAAGTTTGGATTTTTATCGATAATAAGACAGAGAATAGAAACTAATTCATAATTAAAACAATAAAATTGAGTTTTAGAGCTCATTCTCTGAATTGTTAGTAAGCTTTAGTACTGAGCAAATTAGAAAATTGTTGAAATTATTTTGAGAGAGAACTCAAGTAGTTAGAGCGAGGACTCTAAAACAATGACAGACATTCCGATGCATTTTGCAATATCACGACTTTAACTAACAACACGAAAATACTCATAAAATAAGAATGAGACAGTAACATTGTAGTAAATCCTTCCACTTACGTTAAAAAATCTGTAAAATTCAGTCGATGAGGCAGTTTTTGTATCGAGTAGTCCAGTGGAGCCAAACTTTTACCACAGGTCAACAACAGGAACTTATAAGCTACGACACAGGGATCCCGCAGGGTATTAAGTTCGAACTCTGAGACGCAAACTGGAAGCGTACCTTATATTTTTTTCTTTTAAATTGTATTACTCTTATATTATAAATTATCCTATCTTGAGATGAATGTTTTCAATCTTCTTTTACTGACAACGATGCGGTCTAGTGGAGTATTTCCGCAAATCATTGCATCAGGAACTATTTAAACTCTGACACAGATCAAGTAAGAAAAACATTGAACGCTACGATYACGTTTCTACGTCAACAACCATTCTAAGGCCGATTACGCAACGAAAATTATCCATTTCCTACTTTATATAACGGTGCTGTATAAATATCAGAATTGATCGTATTAGATCACTTACCCACCAGATTTTGAGATATTAATTAGAGTACAAACACTATAAGTGTGCAACATAAATACCACTAAATACTGCTAAATTTTGCTAATCCTATTGTTTCCTATTGTTTAATTAGCACTATTTACTACTAAATAGTGCAAAGTGTTGCACACTTTTAATGTTTGTACTCTAGCATCAATCCGGCTGTTATAGTAATTAACAACCATAGAGTGCAAACAATATAACCGTGAAACTTTAGTAATACTAAATAGAACAATTTCATGGAAATTCCATTGTTTTCTATTGTTTAATTAGCACTATTTTGTTCTATTTAATAATTAGTGTTTCACGGATTAATTGTTTGCACTCTAATATATTGGCCTATTTGGATAAAAGGGAAATTAAATAAAGGAAGCCACCTTCAAAAATAGAAAGCACAAGTGCACATGTAAATTGCAAGAATAGAGGCTGAATGCATGGGTATGGTTCCCGTTCCCATGGGAAACACTTTATTCTCAGCAATCCATTTATAGCCCTTTCTAGAAATCATTCTTGAGGGGTGGGGGCAACATGCATATAGAATTTCTTGGGAGTGGGGTAGGGGAGGGTGAGGGGTAAGTTGGTTTTTTCACTGTCCATAGAGAATCAATGGGAACAAATTATGTAGGTCTCAGAATTTTTGCTAATACTGAAATTAAATGCTAGCACTATTCAAACTAATTTATTTATTTYTTTATTTTTTATTATTTGAATGCTCTTGCAGATAATGATGCCATTTATAGAAGCATTTTATGAGGTTCTTAAGCTACTTAGATATCATCTCAATTGCAGCTAGGTAATTAAATAGATCTTAGTCATGTTGGTGCAATGTTTTCCAATTTAAGAGCATGTGTCATTCCCAAGAATAATGTTGTGCATGAGAAGACTCAAAGATTCTTATTCTTTGAGCAATGACACTTGATCTGAAATGGGTAAACATTGTGCACCAAGACAAATTAGATCTATTACTCTCCACGCATACAACACTAACGGTAAGCCTGGGCTACCTGTGAATACCCAAGAAACAAAGAGACCTCATATCTCATCAACTGAAGTCCAATAAGGTGAATCTTTGAAATAATTTYAGAAAATAACTTTAACTTTACAAAGCAAGGAAATATTATAGTACTTTTGCATTGTAGGCAATATGTGCTGCATTCATTGGGTTTTCTGGTGATTTCATCCAATCCTTCTTTAATATTTGTTTTAACTGTGACAACCTAAGATTCGGATTTTCCTGTTTTAGACGTGGTAACTCCCTTGACTCAAATTCCAAGTAGGATGCTTTCATTCTCTTTTCTGGGTGTTTTTCTACTTTCGAATCAACTGAGAGCGTTGCTATGGCTTCCTCTACGCTCCTCGCTTCCACTGCTCCCTCTGCTGCTAGCAATTCTGCCATCTTTTGATTAGGGTTTTCCTCTAACGGTTCATCATGAATTGTCGTTTTCTGTTCTCCATTTTGTTTTCCTTTTGCAGCAAGTGCTTCTTTTTCTTTTTCAGCTGTAATTTGAGCTCGTGTTACTTTTTGAGAAGGTGGTGCTTTTGTCTTTCCTTTCAATGATTTCTCTTCTTCTTCCAACAGTTGTCTTGCTTGTGCTTTTTTTTCAAGTGCTGCTAGTCTCTTCTGTTCTTTTTCATCCTATTCAATATAAAGCCCCCCAAAAAACAAATTATTAAAATAGGGGCAGAATTATGGTTGACAAATTTCTATCAATTTTCCAAGAGAATTTTCCCAACATAACTAACATACTACCACACGAGCAGCCCAATTCACCTTTTYGGYGCTAGTACGGAAATTCGAGAACAATGTCAGAAYGTTTTGGTGACCGTAACACAATCTAAAACAATTTATACCCCGTGACGACTAGTGCCGAAAAGGTGAATTCAAAGCTTCTTCATTAAATTTCGTGGGTTCAACCAAWGGGAAGGCACTACATATGTCCAATTAATGATAATATATAGAGGTTTTTTAATTTGAAATTTTTTGGCACATTTTTAAATGCATCATTTTATTTTCATAAAACATTCTCATATAGATATGTCACATAATATACAAATATTTTTCACCTCATAACTATTTCCATAACTTTTGTATCCTGCAGGAATTTTTTATTAAAACAAAGCCAAAGTTT